GTCTTGGGGCGGTCTTGGGAGCTTCTTTGGCGCTCTTGGATCATCGGAAGCTCGAAAACGCAAGAAGCCAAAACATGGAAAAAAACTAATGAACATCTACGATTTGGGCCTCTTCGGGCCGTCCCGGGACGCCTCTCGGACCTCTCTTGGGGTCTCTTGGAGGCCACCTGGGAGTCTCGAGTGCCGTAGGAAGGCTGACTTGGGCTGCTTGGGAGCGTTTTAGACAATCCTTTCGCATTCTGGGGGCTCCTTGGAGGCGTCTTGGGCCCTCCTGGGGCGCTGTGGAGACTCCCCGGAAAGGCGTCTTGGGCTCCTGGGGGGCGTTCTTGCGCGGTTTAGGCGTCTCGTGGGCCGTCTTGGCCCCCTCGTGGGCCGTCTTGGAGCCCTCTTTGGGGCCTCCTCGACCGTCTTGGGGGCCTCTTGGGTCGTCTTGGACGCAGTGGAAGCCCAAGAGGCGAACACGCCAAACATATAAGTTTTCCCAGAGGAATTTGCAGTGTTTGCTTATTTGGGGCTCTATTGGGGTGCCTCTTGGGAGCCTCCTGGGGGTCTCCTGGGGGCCTCTTGGGGCCTCTGGGGGGCCTCTTGGGGAGAGGGAGGGGACCTCTTGGGGATTCCTGGGAGCCTCTGGGGGCGAAAGCTCGGAATTTGAATGTGGTTGTGCACCTCTGGGACCCCTCTGGGGCTCGTCCTGGGGCTCTCTTAGGGACTTCTTGGGGGCTTCTCGGGCCGTCTTGGGACCCTCCGGGGGTCGTCTTGGAGCCCTCTTGGGAGCTTGTGGGCCAGTCTTGGGGGCCTCTTGGGCCGTCTTGGACGCAGTGGAAGCCCAAAAGGCGAACACGCCAAACATATCAGTTTTCCCATAGGAAATCAACGAATTTTGCTTATTGGGGCTCTCTCGGGGTGCCTCTTGGGGCGTCTTCGGGGACTTCGGGGGCCTTCTTGGCGTCATGGGTCATGCGAGTCGTCTTGAAAGGCGTCTGGAGCCGTCGCTGCGGCCTCCTGGGGCTCCTTGCAGCCTCTTGGGGCCCTGTTGGCCCCGGGTCGCCGAAACCTTATAAATGCGAAGGGAAAATGACGCCCGGGCCCCACATGTGTGGTCGAGGCGCCGGCCCCCGGCCCCTGGACTTGGTCCCCCGTTATATATATATATATATATATATATATATATATATGTATGTATAATGGATGTATAACCGCATGCCGATGATAATAAAGGGACCCCCCCCTTCAGTGTTTAGAGTTGATTATCGTCGCCCTATACAAATTCAAATTGGGCGGCGAGCGCTGAGGCCGAACTTCATTATCACCTCGAAACGCTATGTTGAGATAGCAACATCAAGCGATGTTGATATAGCAACATCAAGCGAAGCGATCACACTTTTTCAGGATGTGTCAAGCGAAACCAATAATTTTGGGAGGCAGACTCAAACGAAACGAGCAATGTTCTTATTATTATTCTACTTTCCTCTTCTTCTTTTATATTTCTATCTGTCCTCACGCTCGCCTGAACTTTTTTATCCCTGGGGTTGATTATCCATGGAAAATGAAGCACATGAGCTACCCTACACGAGCACTTTAAAACATCAATTTTCATAAAGCGTTTGTAAATTAAAATTGATAGATTTGGAACTTTGGATTTTTCCTTTCTTCGTCCTCTTCTTATTCTCCTCTTCTTCTTCTTTCTTATTATTCTTCTACTGTATTCTTCTTCTTTTATATTTCTCTCTGTCCCCACGCTCGCCTGAACTTTTTTATCTCTGGGGTTGATTATCCATGGAAATTGAGGCACATGAGCTACCCTACACGAGCACTTACAAAAAACAATTTTCATGAGAGATAAGCCATTGTTGAGGATATTTCTATGAAAACTAAACGCCAAGGATGTCTCAAAACGTGCTCGGCTTGGTCTCCCCTTGATCATCTCTTACTTCGAGATTATGCTGAGGTCTGCTGGGCTACTTTTATTATCTCTCCCTGAACCCCGAACTTTATTATCCCCTAGTGTTTATTCTCACGGGCATGAGGTTATTTGTATTGGTATCTACATTTGCACAATTATATATACGTGCATACTGACATACACGCATACAAACCTGCATGCATACATACATACATGCATGCATGCATGCACACACACATATGTATGTATGTATGTATGTATGTATGTATGTATGTATGTATGTATGTATGTATGTATGTAGGTAGGTAGGTAGGTAGGTAGGTAGGTAGGTAGGTAGGTAGGTAGGTAGGTAGGTAGGTAGGTAGGTAGGTAGGTAGGTAGGTAGGTAGGTAGGTAGGTAGGTATATATATATATATATATATATATATATATACCCGTTCACGAGACCGGGGCGCCCGGGACCGCGACCTCGGGTGCGCATGGGGGTTCCGGGACTCTTGGGGCGCTCCCGGGACGACTGGAGGCGCCAGACCGCCCCAGAAAGGCCCAGGACGCTCCCAGAAGTCCCCGGGGAGCCTCCAAAAGCCTCCCCAGAAAAGTTTAGATGGCCCCAACGTGGCCAAAGATGGGCCCCAGACGGCAAACAGACCGTTCTATAGACTTTGAAACGGCCCCAACGCTCCGAGAGGCGTTCCAAGATGGCCTCACGAGGCCAAAATCGTTGATTCTCATTGGTTTTTTGTCTATGTTTTTTGCTTTCTCGCTTTTCCAGCTTTCTGACGCTCCAAGACGGCCCTGGAGGGTCCCACGGGAGCCCCAAGACGGCCCAAGAAGACCCCAATGGAGCCTCATGACGGCCCAAGAGAGCCTCTAGACGGCGCAGGAGGCCCCCCCGCGGGCCCCAAGACTGCCCAAGAGCCGCCCAAGACGGCGCAAAAGGCCCCCAAGACGGGGAGATCCGAATGGACTTTTCGGGCCGTCGGCCCCAAGAAGCTCCCAGGAGCCCCAAGAGGCGCCCAGGAGGCCCCCAAGTAGCCCCAGAGGCCTCCAACCCCCCTCCCAGAGAGCTTCGAGAGGCGTTCCGAGATGGCCTCACGAGGCCAAACTCGTTGATTCTCATTTGTTTTTTTACTATGTTTTTTGCATTTTCGCTTTTCCAGTTTTCCGACGCTCCAAGACGGCCCTGGAGGCCCCCAAGGGAGCCCCAAGACAGCCCAAGAGGACCCCAAGGGAGCCCCATGACGGCCCAAGAGAGCCCCAAGACAGCCCAGGAGGCCCCCAAGCGAGCCCCAAGACGGCCCAAGAGCCGCCCAAGACGGCCCAAGAGGCCCCCAAGACATGGGATCCGATTGACTTTGCGGGCCCTCGGCCCGGAGAGGCCCCCAGGGGGCCCCCAAGCGGCCCCTACAGGCTTCCAAGAACCTTCCAATAGACCCCCGAGTGGCCCCAAAGAGGCCCCACACAACCTTCTGTCCGGACGCTACTTTTGCTGCTCCTGAGGCCGTTCTCGGCCACCGGTGCCCCTGAACCAGCCCCAGGCCCACCAAAAAAGGATGGTGGCAACCCGACCCTGGGGCGGGCGTGCCGACCTTCCTCTCCTTACCCAGGACAGCCCCGGATGGGGTCCAGGTGGAGATGACTGCAGTTCGTGGGCCGATTGTGGTGCTACTGATGATTACGATGGTAGACGCGGTGGCACTGGCCGTGGTGGTGATGATGGTGGTCGTGGTGGTCGCGGCAGTGGCAGTGGCAATGGTCGTGGTATTGGTGGTGGTACAGGCGGAGATTGAACGCATGGCCGTTACAATGGTCGCGGAAAGTGCAAACGTCGTGGACAAGGTGGTCATGCCCAGAATGGACATGGAATCGGAAGTGATCGTGAACGCGGTGATGGCGCAAAAAGAAGACGTAGCCGTGGCGGCATTGCCAATGTTAAGAGTGGGCGCAAGTGTGACTAGAACCTAAGCGCGTGCGAAGCGCGCGCGTGGTTCTAGTATACAGATATATGTATAACCAAACCATGCAAACATACATACATGTGGCCTTCGGCCTATCCAGCCACTGTGCCTGCGTTGTGGGTTTGAGGTATCTTGGATGTTCTTTGGGATCTCGTCGAGGCCTCTCGGGGGTCTCCTGGAGGCAGTTTTGCAGCCTCTCGGGGGCTGTTGCGGGGCCTCTTTGAATATTTGATGGGCCTTCTGGGGGCCTCTTGAGGCCCCGCGGGGGCCTTTTTGGGGCCTCTTGGTGCCTCTTGGGGGCCTCTTGTGGCCTCCTGGGCGCCTCTAGGGGCGGAAGGGTTGGTTTCTCGGTACGCGTTCCCCTCTTGGGCCCCTCCGGGGGCTGTCTTGGGGCCCAGTTGCGCCGTCTTTGGCGCCTCTTGAGCCGTCTTCGAGCCCTCTTGGAACGTTTTGGGGCCCTTTTAGCCATGCTCTGGGGTCGTCTTGGGGCGGCGATCTTGGGGGCCTCTTGGAACGTCTTGGAGCGCCGGAAGCTCGAAAAGTGGATAACCCCAACACACACATTGCACAACCATCAGGGAATCAATGATTTGGGCCTTTCGGGGCCCTGCTGGGAAGGCTCTTGGGGGCCTCTTGAGACATCTTGGGCGCTTCTCGGCCGACTTGAGGCCACCTTGGGCGTCTTAGACGGATTGTTTGGCGATCCGGTCCCCTTTTGGACCGTCTTGGGGCCTCTTGGGGCTACGCGGGACGACGCGACGGGCCAAGGACGCATGCGCGAAGCCCCAGGAGATTTGAGAGTTCTTATAAGAAAATTAGGACTGGGGACTGAGGCCTACGGGATTAGGCAAAGCATCTGAGGATACTTCAACTCGTGCCTCAGGGCACGATGGCGGATATGTGTATAGTGTATACTGGTGCAAAGGGCAACGTTCATCGTAGTCATAGTTTTGCGCGGCACCAATGATGGTATCACGTCGTCATCTCTGCAGCACCAGTTTTTGACGTCATGGGAGTGATATGAAACGGCAGTGAAGGCATGCCGTAGCATCCGCAGCAGCAGCGAAAGCATCTGGCATGCACGCTGCTCTTTCTCTCTCTCTCTCTCTCTTCCCCCTTCTCTCTCTGAGCCTGCGAGACACAGTCCAAGCTGCAGACCGGCGATAACGACGACCTCATCCTCCCGCAGGCCACGGGGAATGACTGGGGCGGGCGGCAGGGCGCTGGCACGGACACCCCCGCCCCGACCCCAACGCTCGCCGAAGGGCAGCGTCGGGCGGAGGAAGCCGGCTTGCCCGGGGGCAGCACACAGCTCGTCCCAGACCCTTTTTCGAAACACCCACGAAAAGGTCGCAGCGCTTCATGCGGTAGGTTCATGTGGCGTTAGAGGGCCGGCGACGCGGGCGAAGACGTTCAAGGTCGAATTCTGCGATGCGGGAGCACCCAGGGACACGTTGATGCCATGGGACCCGACGGAATTCAGCTTTGACCGATCGGGGCCGCGATCGATTCAAGGTTGAACGGATCGATGCGGTGTCAACATCTTCTGCGCGTGCCGACGCAGCACGAACCGACCGTAACATCCTGGAGGGCGTTCTTTGATTCCCGGGCGGTAGCGGGTGTTATTGGGAGGGAGGGAGGGGGCGGACGGGGCGGGTCGCGTCGCGTTTCTCAAGCAGTGGCGAAGCGTCCTGGCTCGCCTATAGCCCCACCGAACAAAGTTCTAAGAACATGTTGTGGTTTGCGCGAAATGTTTTTAGAACATGCCTGGCGGATTCTGTCTTGTTTTAACACCTCGGGTTTATGTTCTAAGAACATTGTTGTTCTTAGAACATTTTTGGGTTCTAAGAACATTTCGTGGTAGGACTATAGGAATGCCGGGACGGTCGGTCCCTGCTCAAGTTTCGCTCTGGCGCCGATTGGGAACGTCCGTTAAGTTGCTCAGGAGGAGAACATACACACAGACACAAGTAATCGTCGATCCCCAGGAAAATTTGTGAACATAAGGAAAGTGCGGGGAAGACGAAAACCCCAAAAATATGAGAGAATATGGGGAATCCTGGGACTGTGTGTATTTATGTGTGTGTCCCTGGGCGCCTTTCGTTATCGCGATTCCCCCCCCCCCCCGTAAAACAAATGCTCCGGGTCCGCAGGCCCTCCTCGGGAGGTCCCATGGGCCAGCCCGGGGCAGCGCACAGCTTCCCTGCGAGGGCCCCCGTCAGGGGATTCCAGAGCACTCCTTCTCGAGGTGCGTCTCACCCTCTGCAGAAGGAGGAGGAGGAGGAGGAGGAGGAGGAGGAGGAGGAGGAGGAAACGGAGGAGGAAGAGGAGGAGGGCCCCCCCGGTTAACAAAGCATGCCCCCCTGGGGCTGACGAATCAATCTACCTCCGCTGAAGCGGCGCCGCTTGCGTCGCGCCTGTCGCCCTCCTGCTGTCGGCCGGGCCTCGGCGCAAATCACCAGCGCCGCCGCCGTGCGTTCCCCTTTGGCAAGCGCCCCTCCCGCAATTCGCCCGAGCAGAGGAGCCAGTTTTTGAAGTGCGCGCCCGGGTTTTTGGGGCGACTCACAAGCTGACAGTACAGCCAGCGCGCCGAAGAAGTAGGGACCATGTTTGGGGCCGAGGCGGGGCTCTGGTGCCCGTCCTTGGTTCTGAGTCGGGGAGGGAGCCTGTTCGTGGCAGAGCTCGCCGTGGCCGGAGGAGGCCCTTCGCCGTGACTCCGCGCGCCTTCTTGTGCAGTCGGGCCGAGGCATACGAGCGAGGTCGGCTCGGGGAGGTAATGTTTTGCGTGCTTGTTGGATGTTCTTGTGCATCCTGGGGGGCACCCTCGAATGCTCTTCAGTTTGGGCCGGCGGAGGGTCTCATGTTCTCGAAGGATGCGCTTCTGCCGTGGGTTCGACTGCAGCGCGACGACTGCAGCATCCACAGCCCGTTCCGTAAACAAGTCGTCAGGAAGCAGAGGCCTGGCGTGGCCAAGCCTTGCGGGCGGCGCCATCCCGCCAAGCAGGCGCCAGAACGCTCCAGAGCACCCCAGAGTGCCGCGGCACCTCGCACATCCCCCGTGGGGTCCGTGAATCGTTCGTTCCTGAATTTCTTCGCGTGCTGCCCATTGCCTCGTGCCGGGGGCCCCCGAACGGTGCGGTGACCACACCGTCTGGTCGTTCTCCGAGGACGTCTCGGGCGGTTGGGGTCTCCATGGTCCCAAAACCGTGCGATGACGGACCGTGTTGTGAGGGTTGCGGGGGCTCCGTGACGATGTCACAATGTTGGCGACGATGGCGATGAGATGAGGAGGAGGATGAGGCGGAGGAGGAGCAGGAGGAGGAGGATGAGGAGGAAGCTGCGACGATCAGCTGGCAGCCTGTTGGGCTGGCGGGGATGCAGCCTGACCGCCGCGGTGGTTGCTGGCCTCGTCCTCCACCTCCATCGATGCCTGGCCCCAGAGAATTTCAATGTTTGTAGGCAGGTGATCTGTTGCAGCCCATACATATGCCACAGCCTAGCGGTCACCAGAGATCCTGGAGCTATGTAAATGCGAAATCCGTGTCCACACCGAGCGTTGCATTCAACTTCTGACTTCGCCCATTTCGCCAGTACATGTTGTTGTTTACCGATTCGCCTCGTGCCCCCCGCTGCTTTGCTCAAGCAAAAGCCTGAAACAAGGACCACTTTGAAATTTGGGATGGGCTCCGTTTTTCGGGCCTTTCCTCATATCAGGTCGAGGAACCTATTCGTGGCCGAGGCTCGCCGGGGCCTGACAAGCCGCCTCGTTCCGCAGTTTCTTTTGTGGCAGCACGACGCCTGCACTCGTGGCCGAGGCTCGCCGTGGCCAGAAGCGCCCCTCCGCTCCTTCTCCGGCGATCCCTCCGGCAGCACGATGGCTGTGCGCGCGGCCCCCGGAGCCCCCAGGCCTGTCCCCACGAGGGGTCTGTGGGCGACCTCCTCTGCCCCCGCACGGGGCTGAGCATACACGGTTTTCTCGTTTTCGTTTTGTGTTGGTTTCTTCCCGCGTTTTGTCTTCAATCCGCTTTCGCCGCAAAACGAAGTCGAAACGAAAACGGCCCACGAAATCGCCCAAACCGTGTAGGTCCAGCCCTGCCCCCGCACATGCATTTTTCGGCGCCCTGATGGCCCAGGGAAGGCCTCGGGGCGGTTCGGGACTGCTTTGGAAAGGCTTGGACCCGTCGGCGCCGAGGCGCCACCGCCTAGTTACCCCCTCGTATGGCCGTTCCCTGGGACGCGCGTCGCCGTGTGCGCCTGCGTTTTGTGTATGTGTGCGTGTGTGTGCGTGTGTGCGTGCGTGCGTGTGTGTGTGTGTGTGTGTGCGTGTGTGTGCGTGTGCGTGCGTGCGTGCGTGCGTGTGTGCGTGTGTGTGTGTGTGTGTGTGTGTGTGTGTGTGTGTGTGTGTGGTGTGTGTGTGTGTGTGTGTGCGTGCGTGTGTGTGTGTGTGTGCGTGCGTGTGCGTGTGCGTGTGTGTGTGTGTGTGTGTGTGCGTGTGCGTGTGCGTGTGCGTGTGCGTGTGTGTGTGTGTGTGTGTGGTGTGTGTGTGTGTGTGTGTGTGTGTGTGTGTGTGTGTGTGTGTGTGTGTGTGTGTGTGTGCGTGTGTGTGTGTGTGTGTGTGTGTGTGTGTGTGTGTGTGTGTGTGTGTGTGTGTGTGTGTGTGTGTGTGTGTGTGTGTGTCTGCGTGTGTGCGTGTGTGTGTGTGTGTGTGTGTGTGTGCGTCCTTTGGTAGCCACGGGAGCGGCCTCGGATAGCGACGGATGGCTGCGGATCTGGCGCCGGATTGCGGTTTCAGGGAGGCAGGGGAGGCCCGCATATATTCAACATGGCTCTCGTGGAGTGCGCTCAGGCCAGCACCCCTCTAGAGGGGACTCCCTGCCGAGGTCCACGAGTGTCGAAGGCATCCTAGCTTCGACCCTCGATCCTTCGCCCTGAGGTCCTCTTCCCGGGCCGCCTCGTCGATGAAGACGACGGCGACGACGACGACGACGACGACACGACGACGATGACGACGACGATGACGATGACGACGACGACACGACGACGACTGTGACGACGACGACGACCCCAACGACGACGACGACGACCCCGACGACGACGCCGTCCACGACGGCGAACGTCCGACGCTCGGCCGTCGCGCGGCCTCCCTGCCGCAGATCTTCATAGACGGGGTGTTCATTGGCGACGCCACCGACCTGCAGGGCCTGGAGGAGCCGGCCTCTCCCCGGGTCGGCGCCACCCGACGGGGGCGACGCGTGGGCCGAGAGAGCTCATAGCAGAAGCTCCCCGGCGGGCGCCTTTTGGGAAGCGACATGCTACAAGATGGTTGTGCGATATGTCTGTGTCGGACGCACGCCACCGAGGAGGCCACAGAGGACTAGTAATGTCCTTTTCTTGTTGCCCGGGGGGAGGGGGGAGGAGCGATACCTCCCTGCCCTTCTCCTTCTTCCTCTCATCCCTCGCAGGAGGAGCAGCGGCATAAGCCTCGATACTCCAAGGTTCGCCCAGAGAGAGCTCTGGGGTCTGCGCTGGACTTCCCCGGCGGCGCCTTCTCCGGCGGCGCACCTGGCGCCGCCCCTTTATCGCGCTCCGCGCGCCAGGGAGGAGGTGCCACTGCAGACCCAAGGAATCTTCGCCTCCCCTCGAAAGTTTCTGTATATGATGTCTTGGACTCTTCGAATCCCTCTTCTCCCTCTCCTGTCTCCTCTCTCTCTCTCTCCCTCCCCTATTCAGATGGACTTTTCCCGACTCGGTGGCCGACTCCGCCGATCCGATTGATTTCGACCGCCGATCCGACTTACCGATTCGATTCTGGGCCTTCCTGTCCGAAGCGGGCCGCGCGGGCGCAGAAACGAGAAAAGAAGTTCCCCGTCGGGCCCTTGGGTCAGGGACAAAGTCGCGACGAGAGGGTCTTCGCTACTTCCGGGGCCCTTGCCGGTCAGAGCCTCCGGGGCCTCGGGACCGTCAAAACAGCTCAGGATGAAATGCCGGTCCCAAGGATATTTTTTGGGGGTCGACGTCATATAAAAATTCATGACGTCGGGGGTCTGGGTCGGGCGCAAACGGAGTAGGTGCTGAGGGGGGTTGGGGCCCAGGCGGTGCGAGAGCGCATTTGGGCATCACTCCCCGCAATCTCAATGAGAAGAGCGGGATGTACGAGCGTCCACGCACGTCCTCTTCCGTGCGCACACGACTTGCACGGAATGGAGGCGCTGGCCTCCTTAGGAGGAAAGGGGGGAAGAGTGAAACACGAAACGAGGCATACGGCAGGTTCGTGTCGTGTCGACCAACGGCGACCCCGCCGCCGTCGTTTGATGCTGAACGCCGCCAACGACCCAGAATCGGTCGATGTTGAACGATCTGACGTTTCGGAAATGGCCGATCGTTCCAGGTTCAACTATCCACGCGGCGTCAGATAGCAACGCCAAAGTCGGCACGACACGAACCCGCCGTAAAGATCGGCCTTCGGAGGTCCGCCTTGACTCCCTAGGTCGCTGTTGGACCTCCGACCCCACGCCATGTCTCAACGGCGCGGAGCGCGTTGCGGCAGGCGCCGGATACATTTCAACGGGTGAAGGTGGGGACAACGCCGATTCGCCGACCCGAGAGATCCGCGTGGACCTTCAGTTTTGCATTATATATGTACATATATATATTATTTGTGTTGCCCCCTGTGTGATCTACCTTTCCTGTGTGTCTTTCAGGCGATCAGAATTATTTCAGCATTGCAGCATCGAGCATCACGTTGCCGTTGACAAATGCTCTCCAGCTCTCCCGCTCTCCCGCTCGCCCGCTCGCCCGCTCTGCCGCTCTCCCGCTCTCCCGCTCGTTTTCTCTCCCGCTCTCCCGCTCTCCCTCTCTACCGCTCTCCCGCTCTCTCGCTCTCCCGCTCTCCCGAATGCCTGCGGGTGGAAGTCAAGGCCGGAACCCCGAGTGCCTCCGACTGGAAGTCAAGGCCGCAAAGAAGCTAAGGCAGATCACTGGGGGGGTGACCATAGATGTATGTATATACGACTATGTACTCATGTATGTCTTTGTCGTTGTCGTCGTGCTTGTCATTCGCAGTTGCCGTGTTCGCAACTCGTCGCCTTGACTGTCGCCGCCATCTCCGTCGTCGTCGTCATCATCGTCGGCGTCGGCGTCGTCGCCGCCGTCGGCGTTGCCTTCGCCTATGCCGTAGTCGCCATCGTCGTCGTCGTCGTCGTCGTCGTCGTCGTCGTCGTCGTCGTCGTTCGTCGTTCCTCGTTCTGCTCGCCATCTTTGGCCGCTGTCGCCGTCGCCGTCACCTTCGCGATCGCCCGCCCGTCGGCTGCTGCCGCCCTCGCCCTCGCCTTCGCCTCCGCCGTCGTCGCCGTCGCCGCCGCCCCCCGGCGCAGGACGACGGGGTGCTGAACGGCCTGCTCTGCCGCGCGCTCGGGCGGCCGTCTGCGCGCCCCTCCTGCGCTCCGCCCGCCCCTTGGCGGCCGGCTTGCCAGATCGCGGCGCCGACCCGCAGGGGCACGACGGGTCCCCGCCGCTCCCGCCTCGGCGGCGGGACAGCTGCAGTCGAGGCCGATCTAGTAGGTCGACTCTGCCAGATCGAGGGTACGTACCCTTGTGTCCTGAGCTTCGCGATCCATGCCTTCTTACATTCCTGTGGCAATGTGGCCCTCGGAAGGGTCTTGTGTCCTCTCGCGTGTCCTCTGCAATCAGCCCCGACTGTATCGGTAGGTACAGTTGGACCGAGGCATGAGACCGCGGTCGGTTTGGTAACGGAACCCTCGTGCTCTTCGCGCTTGTTGGATGTCCGTGTACATCCCGGGGAGGGTACCCTTGGATGTTCTGCTTGTTCTGGCCGACGGAGGGTCTCGTGTTCCTGAGCGATGCTCTTCTGGCCTAGGTCCGATTGCACATGCAGACAGAGTGGGCACGAAGACGGACAGCAGTTTCTGTGCACTTGGGATCAGGCTCGCTGTCGGTGTCGGTGTGGACGTTGTCCGTGCGAGACAGAAGGCCGCCTGTCCAGCAGCGGCCGCCGCCAGTTTTGGACAACATTTGCCGTTGAGCAGCGCACCCATTTATTCCGTACCACTTTTGGGCGTCGGGAATCTATCCAGCGTCATCCAAACATGATGCTATATGTGTGCGTCGCCACCCCAAAGGTGCGACGCGCGCGCAGAGATCTCTTGTATATACTAGGTGGCGGGCGATTTCTGGCCCTTCCGCTTGGGTAACGATACGCACTATAATATTGCTGTGCTACATAATCTGGTCGGACGCACCCCTCCGAGCAGGACGCATCGTACTAGTATGCCCTTCGCGTCCAGTCTAGGCCTCACAGGTGGGGCCGAAGCAGATGTGGTCGGAGGATCGTGCCGCATCGCCGATGTCTCGGCGATGCGGCTGGATGTGGAGCACAAGTCTCTCAACTCGAAGACGAAACAACGGCATAAACATAAAACTTTTGGCGCTCCGCGCGGATTTCTCGGATCCGTCCTGGGCCTCCCTGGCGGCGCCTCCGGCGCCACCCTTGGCGCGCTCCGCGCGCCAGGGAGGCAGGTCCCGCGCAGATCCAAGAAATCCGCGCGGAACACCAACAATTTATGCCTATGCCGTTTTTTTTGTTTCTTCTTTTTCTTCTTCTTCTTCTTCTTCTTTTTCTTCTTCAATCAACGCCGACGGTGCCGATGCATCGCCGACGTCGGCGATGCATCGCCTCGGCGATGCGGCGAGATCCTGCGGCCCCACCTGCTCAGGCCCCCCTCTGGGAGGCCTCTTGTGGCAAGGGCTCCTCGGCCAGGGAGGGGACATCGTGCCAACAGCAGGGGGCTCCGATTGCCTATGCCTTCGACGAGGCACCCTGGCAGGGCTCGCTTCGGTTTCTCCGATTCGACTCGATTTGATTTCGATGGCTTTCGACTCAGATTCGATTCGACTTGGGATTCCGATTCGGGTTCCGATTTTTCTCCACGGAGACCCACCAGCCTGCCGACGCCTGCCGACACGACTGCTCCCCCGACTCGGCTGCTGATCTCCGCCGATCCGGCTCATTTCGATCGCCGAGCCGGCTTGTCGATTCGATTGTGGGCTCGAGGAGGAGGGCCCCGTGAACGTGGGGGGAGCGGCGACGGGCCTAGGGCAAGGAGAGGGGAGCGGCGAAGGCGACGACGACGACAACGATCACGACGACGACGACGACGACGACGAGTCAAACGGAACAGTCTCTTCCACACGCCAACAGGGTCGGCGGATTTTGGGCCCTCCTTCCCCTGTCATCCCCGCCACCCAAACGGAGGAAGCGAGGAGGAGGAGGAGGAGGAGGAGGAGGAGGAGGAGGAGATCCCAGTGCGTAGCCTCAATTTCTTCTTCTTTTTGGGTGCCCTTTGTTTCACGTTCTCTGCACAGCGCCACGATGTGCCCATGCATTGCCGACGAAAAAACTCTCCTGCCCTGGGGCGATTCGCCCTTCCTGCTCCCAGGTGCTCCTGCGGGCTCGAAGGCTCGCTGCCCGCGGGCTGCGCCGCGGGGCTCTCGTCTTGGCGGGCTGGGGCCCCGTCGGGCCTCCCGGAGTTCTTCCCCGTGGCCTCTTGGGGGACCTCCAGAGACCCCCAGGGACACCCTAGGGGGACGATCAATGACATGAACATAAAAGCCCTGAGAACCGCGCGGATTTCTCGGATCGGCACTGGGGCCCCCTGGCGGCGCCTCCGGCGCCGCCCCTGGCGCGCTCCGCGCGCCAGGGAGGGGGGTCCAGCGCAGATCCAAGACATCCGCGCGGACCTCCGAATTGTTCTGTTTATGTCATTGTTTGTTCCCCTGCACCTGGGGGCCTCCAGGGACCTCTGGAGACTCGCCGCCCCTCCCGCCCCCCCACGCGCCGCGTCCGCCATGTATCTCTGCACTTACAGGGCTCCTGGTGGGCAGGCCTTCCTGAACCTTCCATCCTCCCTCCTCCCTGCCCCTTGCTTCCCACCCTCCCCTTGTTCCCGATTCCTGACCCCCTCCCCTGCATCGTCTGCTGTTTCCTGATGTTCCAGTGGCCTGCCTCTTCGGAGGCAGGTCACCGTCCCGGGCCCCTTTTCTCGAGTGGCCAGCGTTCCTGCTGAGCCCGGCGGAGACGAGTCATGTGCCGCGCCGAAGCAGCACCGCCACCTTCACTCACAAAGCGCGAGGCGCTTGGGCGAGGACAGCAGTTCGTCCGCCATCGCGCGGCCCCGCTGCCGCTGCCGAGGTCATGCGGTTCGGCGGCCGAAGCATGCGCCGCGCCCACGCGGGAGCGCCACATCTAAGCCACGCGTGCACGGAGTTCGGGTGAGGGCGACAAGTCGGCCGCTCGTGCGGGGCCCGAAATATCGAGCCAGTGGCAAAATATGCGCCACGCCGGTGCTGGATCGCCACTTTCTGTTGAACTCTGCGCGGCGCCATGGCGAAACCTGCATTTTCGTCCGCTCGCGTGTCGATGCATTGTCTTGCGAAAATTGTGCGCCGCGCCAATCGGACATTTCGCGGAGCACGGACGAGGCGAGAGCCGAGGCGAGACCGACATTTCGCGAGGAATGTGCGCCCCATCCCACTGCGGCCACGCATTTTTGAAGGTGGACCGCAAAACGCTTCTGTGGAGAGCGCAGCGTAGTTCTTGTTGTCGCTCTGATGTTTTCAACTCGGATGGATCCTCCCATACGTAGCGCTTGCCGGCTTGCTAGGTGATTGAGTCATGAGAAATAAGACTAGCAGGCCAAAAGAGGTTGGAGGGGGGAGTCGGAGGAGGAGTCGGAGTCGGAGGAGGAGGAGGAGGAGGAGTCGGAGGAGGAGGAGGAGGAGGAAGGATGATGGGCGAAGGAGGAGGAGGAGGAGGAGGGCATGCGGGAGGGACGGAGGGGAGGGAGGAGGAAGAGGAGGAAGAGCAAGGGGGAAGGAGGGGAGGAGCCGAGGGAGGACAGAAGCGGCAGGAGGGAGGGAGGGATGGAACGGACGGGAGGGAGGAGGACGGAGGTCAGGAGGAGGGGAGGGGACGGGTCAGGAGGGAAGACCAGAGAGGATGGACAGGGAGGAAGAGGGGGCAGGACGGAGGAGGGGACGAGGGAGAGGGGGCGGGGGCGCGGGAGGGGCCACGAGGGAGAGGGCCCCCGTCCAAGACCGCACCGCGTGCATGAAGTGCCACGACCGGAGGAGGCGGGCCGCCGCTGCCGCCGCCGCACGGCCCCCCAGCCTCCGCGCGCGCGCGCGGGGCCACTTCGGCCTGTTTGTCTCCCTCGCAAGGCCCGCTTCGATTCCTGCGATTCGATCCGATTCAATCTCGATGGCCTCCGATTCCGGTCCGATTCGACTCTGGACTCCGATTTGGGATCCGATTTCTCAAGAGGGGCCTAGTAGCCTGCCGATGTCTGCCGATTCGATTTTTTTCCCGACCCGGCTGCCGGTTCCGTCGATCCGCTTGATGTCGATCGCCGACCCGACTCGTCGATTCGATTATGGGCTCTCTTGCATTCGAAGAGGCGCAGGCACGAGTCAAGGAGCGTCGATGCGAGCGGCGGGTCCCGCTTCCATGCGTGGCAGCGGGAGTGGGTGGGTGAAGGATCCGGAGGGCCCCTCGGCTCTGGTTCGAGATGCGTCAGAAGAGGAAAAGGTACCCATACAAAGACCTCCAGCGCGATCTCCTTCGGGGAAGGAACGCAGAGCAGCACGGAGAAGGAGTCGCGCCGCCGTGGCTCTTCGCACTTGCAGCCGTAGAGATTGGCAGTGGTTGCGGAGAGCCCTGGATAAGCTATGACTAGAACCTACGCGCGCGCGTAGCGCGCGCGTGGGTTCTAGTATATACGCATATACATTACACAATCGAAAGCGAGCGTGCACACACGCAATGTGCAGGCATGCGCCACTCATAAACACTTCCGCGCAGACATCACATCATGTACCAACGTGGGCACATACCAATCGTACAGAACATCAGTAACTCCCGCGCGTGAACATCATCAACCATGTAGCATGTCAAGCTGCAGAGTCACACGCGGCAGACATAGAAACCTGTGCATCCGCTCCCTCGTTGGGACTGGCCGATGCAACACATTTGGTCGCTGTGCTTTTCTGTGGCTCGATGCTCTTCGGCAAAATGTTGCGCCTGCGCGGCCTCGAAGAAGCTAGCGATCGCCCAACATAGCTCCAGGAAGGCCCCGGGAGAGTCCCAAGATGGCCTAGGAATGAGTGAGAGGGGCTTCACAAACTTGCAACCACTGTGAATGGTTGCGACGGCCGGCTTTGTCACAATCTCGGCCGCCAGGGCTTTTGTCCGGACCCAGAAGCGATCGCAACAAGATCCGCTGCGAACGAATAGTATTGACTCCTGGCGATGGTCTTGGCGGTGGCGTTGCGGGCCTCGGCCCCCCCCCAACCAAGTCGCGGCGTCGGAGGTTTGGGGATATCCTGGCGTCCGTGTTCGTCTGCCCCAGACGGGAGAAAGAGTATGAATGACGCGCTGCCTTTTGTAGCCCGTCAGCGGGTGATTTTTTCGTTCTTGTCTACAGGCCTGGTGCTTTTTCAACAATGGCCTTCTGATGGCTTCCCAACGGCGACGTGCCATGCGTGCTGTTTTTGCTGCGTCGCCATCTCCCTTGGCCTCCTCACTCTTCCTCCCCCCTCGCGTGCGCGGACGCGCCGGCGGGAGTTGGAGAGCAGGAGGAGGTGGGCGCGCGTGGGGGCGAGCGCGGAGAAGGGGCAGACGGAGGAGGACGAGGAGGGGGATGGGGGGGAGAAGGAGGAGAAGGAGGTGGAGGAGGAGTACACGGCCGGAGATGACTTCGAGACGACCCTCGGGACCGCCCAGACGCCCCTCACGGCCCCAAGACATCCCCAGGCAGGTCCCGACGGTTGCGATGATGAGGATGAGCACGGCGACGATGGTGATGATGATGATGATGATGACGATGATGATGATGCTGATGCTGATGTTGATGCGGATGCGGATGCTGATGCTGATGTTGATGATGGCTGCTGACGATGCTGATGTTGATACGGATGAGGAGGATGTGAATGATAATGCTGCTGGCGATGATGATGAATGCTGTTTGCGCTGATGGTAATGGTGATTGCGATGATGATGGTTGTGATGGTGTTACTGATGGTAATGGTGATGGTGATGCAGCTGATGATGACGACGATGATGACGATGATGATGATGGTGGTCATGATGCTGGTTGTGAGGCCGATGCGAATGATTCGGTTAACAATGATGATTGTGGTGGTGGTGATGACGCGGCCCATGGTGTTGCATGGATATGATGATCTCAGCTGAGGACGACGTCGACGATGAACACGGTGATGGTGGCGATGCTGGTGCTGAGGATGCGAATGCTGTCGAGAATGGTGCCGGTAACGATGATGGTGGCGGTCATCAGCATGACCTTGATGATGGTTTTGACTCGTTGTCCTCAATCCGGCGGCCGATCTTTAAGTTGTTGAAGGGAACCCATCTTGCATGAGAAAGCCCCAAGATATCCAAGAACCGTTAAGTGTATCCCAAGACGACCTAAGCGATCTCGAAGAGCCCAGTTTGACAGCTTCCGAAAACGTCAGACGGGCAAAAGGCGCCCCAACTTAGCTTGCGAAGCCCCCTTGAGGCACCAAGAGGCTCCCTAGAGGCGTCCAAGATATCTCCAAGAGGCATCCAAGAGTCCAACAGGACGTCAGAATCATTCAAGAACTACGGGGAACTTGCAGGTTCCTGAAGAACTCGCCTTTTCGCTCTCGATGGGCCGGCCTCTCAGGCCTCCAGATGCCCTCCTGACGACTCTTAGGGCTCCCGAAACGACAGCAGAGGGCCCCGAGAGGACCGAACAGATTCTGGGAGCCGCCCCCCCCAGCTGCCCAAGCCGCGCAGTCGGCCGGATGCTCCGGGAGGCCTTTCCGGGAGCGTGGGGCCGACGACGACGTCGATGTGGATGTTCATGCTGGTGATGATGAGGAGGAAGATGCGCACGACGGTGACAGTGACGATGTGCACGATTAGAGTAGCTGCGTTGATGGGACGAGGATGAGGATTAGGCTGATACTCCCGATGACGACGGTGAGGAATCCTGGTGATGGTGGTGATGGTGACGGTGTGATGGTGATGACGATGATGCGTGAGTTTGACGAGACGGCATGGCTAGCAGCACTGCGCCAAGGACGTCTATGATGCATTGTTTTGTTCTCGATGATGAGCTGATGTTGAAGTTGATGACGATGGCGATGCCGATGGTGCCGGTGATTCCGATTATGATGATTTATATGATGATGTTGATGCTGTCTATGATGCTGCTGATGATAATATTGATGAGGATGATGTTACTGATGATAAGATTGATGATGATGCTGAGTGAGATGCTGATGATGCTGCTGTTGATGAAGATGATGATTATGATGCTGATGCTGATTATGATGATTATGATGATGATGATGATGATGATGATGATGATGATGATGATGATGATGCTGATAATGATGATGATGATGATGATGATGATGCTGCTGATTATTCTCATGATTATGATGAGTATTAGCGTCATGATTATTATGATGACGATAAGTCGGATGAGGAGGAGTATGAGGGTAAGGACGGGGATGGTGATGAGGCTGAGGATGGGTATGACTATGTCACTCGCTTGTGCACGATAGGTTGTCCAAACTCGTTCAGCGACTCCCCAGTCTGCGCTGGAACCCATGCGCGCGTGAAGCGCGCACGATGGTTCTAGTATATCCGTATCACCATGTGCGCCTGCTCAAAGCGATAAATCATTCTTCTACGGGTTGAATCCTGCAGTGTGGAAGGTGTTGGGCGCCAAGGTGATGCACGTGGAGACGGCGTCATCCTCATTTCGCATGGGAGCAGCTGCATTAGGCATAGCAGTAGAAACGCTTGGACAACCTTACAACGAGTAGTTCAGTCAATCATCAACCCGAGGAGGGGCGATTCGCGCAAAGAAAGAGGGAGGACGGAGGAGGGAGGAGGGAGGATGCAGTGAGGGGCAGAACCCCCACACTCGTGTCAGGGGCATGGGCCCCCGCTCTTGTGCTCTTTGCCGTGCGCCCTGTCGTTCTCCCGCGCGCGGCGGGTCTCATCGCGCCGAGGAAGCCGAGCGCCAACCAGTGCGAGAATTGCTGGTACAAGTTCGAGGACACTGCCTCGCCAGACCCCCTCGTTCGGTGGCAGATCGTGGGAGCCGTCTGTGGAGTGCACTCGCGTCGATGAGCGTTGGGCAGTCGATGCGATAGCGTTAGGAGGAGGAGGAGGAGGAGGAGGAGGAGGAGGAGGAGGAGGAGGAGGAGGAGGAGGAGGAGGAGGGAGGGAGAGGGAGGAGGAGGAGGAGGAGGAGGAGGAGGAGGAGGAGGAGGAGGAGACTAGCGTCGACTAGCGTCGACGAGCTTCGAATCAGCGTCGGCTGGCGTCGACTCGCGTCGGCCCGCAGGGGCCCACGGGACGGCGCGGGAGGCTCCCGCGTGTCTTGACGCGAAGCCCTCGCACCGTGTGGAGAGCCTGGCGGAGGTCTGCTGGCAGCTCGTGGCCTCGGGGGGGGGGGGGGCCCTGCCCGGCCCAGGGGCCGTCAGGCAATGGCTCGGTGGTCGACTGGAGGGGGGGGGCGGTTGGAGCCGAACCCGCCCCCCCCCCCCTCCTGCATGGAGGGGGGGGGGGATCCGAAGGGGGGCCCCCCCCCCCTGGATGGAGGGGGGGGAGGGGATTCGAACCCCCCCCCCCCCTCCTCCCGTGACGGAGTGGGGGGTTCAAACCCCCACCTCCCCCTTTCCGTGACGGGGGGAGGGGGGGTGTTTGAACACCCCCCGCCCCCCTGGGGTGGCGGGGGTGGAGGGGTGGTGGTTTAGGGGGGGAAGGGGAGCCCCCCTGGTTTTGATCGACGGCGCCGAGTGCCGGGGGGGGGCCCACCCCCCGGTTTGAAACGCGCCGCCGAGTGTTCCCAAGGCAAGCGCCCGTGAAACGTGTTCTCTCTCCACATGGGATCGAAGGAAAAAACGCGGATTCACAAGTTGTGACGCGTCGTTAGTCTCTCTGCCCCCTCCCTCGCGTCGTGACGAGCCCGGCGGAAGGTTTCTGGCAGTTCGTGGCCTCCAGGGGGGAGGCCTTTGCCCGGCCCAGGGGCCGTCAGACAATGGCTCAGGGTTATGCTGTTCCAACCTACTTCAGCCTTGATCACCAGAAAGAATTTCGAGCACCAGAGAAGTACCGAAATTCGAGGGAGTTCACGTGTCGGGTCCTGGGAGACACTCGTCCGACATTGTTTCGACACTGGTTCGACACCTTTTCGACACTGGTCCGGGTGCTCGAAATTATTTCTGTGATGAGGTCCTTAAGTACGATGGGGGCAACATCAGCTCAGGGTGGAAGGTTGTTCCCATGGGATCGAAGGGGAAAACGCGGATTCACAAATCGTGAAGCGTAGTTCGTCTCTCTGCCGCCTCCCTCCGCACTTTCGTGCATCCTTCTCACTGTCTCCTCTTCTCCCCGTGTGCTCTCCGCGGCTGCTTGGGTCACAGGGGGGGCCGCTTGTCCCGCCCTCCCACCCTCTTTTGTTCCTCTGGCGCAGCTGGGGCCAAGGGTGTGACCTCGTGTGCGCTACCTGGCCAATGAAGAGCGCGTATGAGGAGGATCAGGATCAGGAGCTACCTACATGAACATCCATTTTCTGAGCTCCGCGCGGATTCTTGAATCCGCGATGGGCCCCCCTGGCAGCGCCTCTGGCGCCGCCCCTGGCGCGCTCCGCGCGCCAGGGAGGGGCGTCCAGCGCAGATGCAGGAAATCCACGCGGACCGTCGACAGTTCTGTTTCTGCCCATGGCTCTGCTTTGATAGAGGGGGTCTAGACCTCTTGGGGCTCACGTTAGGAACAGCATCACGAAGTCGGAGGTCTGGGTCTTGCAGCTTGATCCCTCGGTAGCGACGAGGATGCCGGAGGGGCCTCGTCTTCTGGTAGGCCAGGGATCCAAGGGGTTCGGCGGGCCCAGAAAAGGTATCGAGAAGCCCAGGGGCTCATGCCACGAAGCTGTTTTGCCGTTGGACGACTGGGGGTGAAGAAGGATAAGAACCTTGCAGCGCTCAGCGTACACGATGGCCCCAGGGAGCAGGCGACATTTCTATATATATATATATATATATACATTTATATATATGTATATAGATATATACACATAGAGAGAGAGAGAGAGAGAGAGCGAGAGAGAGCGCGGGATGGTGTGCATGTGTGTGCGGGGGGAGAGAGAGAGAGAGAGAGAGAGAGCGAAGGAGGGAGAGAGGGATAGAGAGAGATCTTACATATACATATTTACGCCCGCACGTACATACATACACACGCATACACTCATACGTACACATCCACATGTATATACGGGTACGCCAGTACACCCATGTGTGCATGTACCACAAGCATAAAGTAACACATTTACATGTGCATACAAGGACACATCTATGCCACGTGCTCGTGATGTTACAAGTCTGTGTGTCTGTGTGCACGCATAGTGGCTATATCTGGGTGAAGATTACGAGGATCGTGCGTATATATATATATATATATATATATATAGTCGCAGGGATATGGACAGCGCAGCAACATACGCGAAGGGTGCATCGGGAATCCAGAGGTTGAGCACGGGGGGAGGTGATGTGGAGCTACTATATGAGAGAAAAGTTGGGTGCCCAGGAGGAAGTCGGTCCATAATTAGGCATGCATGCGTTTGGGCATATGTTCTCCAGTAGTGCCGCGAGCACACAGTCTTACGATAGGCGTAGGGTGTTGACGTGTAGTACTCACAGCAGAAATAGAAGTGTGTCCAAACTGACCTGCCCCCTCATTTGCAGGAAATATTGCCTGGCAAGATGACCATCGAGCAGGCCCTGGAGGACGGGACCTCCTGGTAGACAGCGGAGATGGCGTGGCGGTTGCACCCAGACTCTTCCGTCTCGCGTGCTCCGCGCACAGCGAGGGAAGTTGTCGGCGCAGCTCCCCCGTACCTGCTCCGCCCTCCACTCTGGGGACGACGAGGAGGAGGAGGAGGGGGACGAGGAGGAGGGGGAGGAAGAGCAGGAGGAGGAGGAGGAGGGGAAGGAGGGAGGAGGAGGAGGAGGAGGAGGAGGAGGAGGAGGAGGAGGAGGAGGAGGAGGAGGAGTGGCCACATGGCCATGGCCTGGAGGCCCCGGAGGCCGCGCCTCGGACACGATCGGCCGAACGCACGAGTACACACAACAGACAGCGCCGACCATCAGAGAAGTGCTGCTCAGCCGGGCAGTGTCACGTCTGTGGTTCATCGCGACCAAGAGCCACGTGTCTGCGCCCCCGGTGGCAGTGGCGTTTATCCAGCCCTTAAGGCAATCTCCATGGTGCTGCCTAGTTTGGCGCAGGCGACGCCGGCCCTAGCTTTCTGAGCTCAAGCTGGAGGTGCACTGGCACTGTGTATGCAGATTGCAGATGCGTGTTTTCAGTCTCTGTGCGCGTGTACACACGTATGTACCGATTTGGCCATCCGTGGCAGTGCCTCCGTCGCCACGCAGGACTTCCAGGTTCCCCCAACATACTGCGCAGCGCCCCGCGCCACTCTCCTTGCGCAGGCTGTTTGCAGTCCTGGCTACCATGTCACGAGCAATCGAACTTGTACATTTTCCCCAGCGGAAGGCCCAGTGGTACTGTTTCAGCACACGTTTTGCACCAACGTGCCGCCGGGGCACCCATCGGCTGGTGAGCAAGTTTTCTCGGATGCGAGATCACGTTCGAGAGGTGCAGCGGTGGTTGCCAAGCGCTGCTAAACTCTTAGACGCTGCCAGGCAGACATCTCTAAACGATTAAACGATGTTTCAATGCGCAGGCGACCTGCCTGGCTGCTAATGGCAGATCGCGGCGCAAAGCCAGACAGCCCAAGAGCATTCGAACGCTCCCGAGCTGCCAGGGGCCACAGTGACAGATCAGCGGAATCCTTCTCATCATCTTTTTCGTCCCAGGCGAAATAAATTAGTAATAGTGCGAAGGAAACCTGTTCCCTCTTAAACTCAGCAGCAAGGCGCTCGCCGCGGAGCTCCTGACCATTGAGCCGTAACGCTCGCTGGGAGAATTGTTGAGAATTCTTGCTCCCTCTCCGCCCATCGAAAGGCCACTCTGAAAACGGCATTGGACCATTTCGGGCTGTCCCGACTTCCTCGAGGGCATTGTGGCAGGGGTCCGAAAGAGGGAAGGAGGGCGGTCGCAGCTGGAGGTCGGGGACGCCGCAGTAGCACGTGACTTGGAGTGAGTGCCGCACGCGTTTGCTTGTGATTCAGTGAAGAAGCGTCGTAGAAGGGTAATAAACGTGGAAGGTATCGAAGACGCCCACGGCGAAGCGCCGCCGCCCCCTGCCTTCCTAGGAACACCTATGTTATGCGTCTCGGGGGCTCTATCGGGCCCTCTTGGCCGTCATTGATATTTTTCCCGATTGCGTTGTTGTGTAAGGCTGGCTGGATTGACCGAGACCACATTGGGAGTTTTTTGGAAGTGTTCAAACTGTCAAAAATCTGGCATGGCGAGCACCCCTCTTGCAAGCAACTCGAGCTGACAAGAAAGAACGGGGGGAGGAAGGAGGAGAGGACGGTATAGAGAGATAGAGAGGGAGGGACAAGAGGGTTAGTGCTAACCCTGCTCACCCGGCACCCACCTCACTGTGCCAAACGCACCCTGATCTGAACACACTTGGTGCCGAACTCACTCGGCCGCACTCAACTGGCGCGAAACTCACCCTGCGCCTAACTAACCGGGCGCTTCAGCGGAAACGCCGACACCGACACTTGTGGAAGAGGCGCTGCGAAATGCCGCTGATTTTGAGAACGTGCAAATAAACCCAGAATTGAGAAGAAAGCGCCGGCTCGCATAAGGACGAGACGCTCTAGAAAGAACCGCCGTTGTGGAGACGAGCCCAGGCGACTCGAGGACAACGCTGCAGACGATACGCCCGCACCGGCACAAGAGAAGGAGGCGCTGCAGAACGCCTTTGTTTTGGAAAGCACCCCGAACCCGCGCTGAAGATCACATTCTTCACGTTTCGCGTACTACCGCCACCAGCCCATTCGAAAACCTTGCTCCGGAGAGTCGACGGGAAAAGGGATGAAAAAACACATATGATGATTTAGTGCGGGCAACCAGGGTGAACAGATAGATCTCTGGGAGCAAGGGAGCAAGGGGGTGGCCTTGGAGGGCCTCTTGGGGCCATCCTTGGACCCCACGCTCGGGCGAGAGAAGGAGGAGGAGGAGGAGAAGGAGGAGGAGGAGGAGGAGGAGGACGACGACGACGACCACCACCGCGATGACGAGGAATATGATGAAAAGGAAAGGAAGACGACGAGGGCAATGACGAGGAGGAGGAAGAGGACAACGATGACGAGGACTGAGCCCTTAACATCGCCTCTTGGAGCCCTCTTGGGACTCTTTGGAAGGATATTGGAATCCTCGAGGGGCTGATGTGGAAGGTCTTGGGGCCCTCTTGGAACCCTCTATGGGCTCTCTTGGGAGCCTGTTGGGAGCCCTGGGAGCCTCTAGGAGGCATCGTGGAAGGAGTCGGTGAAAACGCCCAGACGGACGCAAGAATAGGACGCATTACAAAACTTAGCTGTCTTGCAGAACAGGGTAACCCACGGTGGAAGAGAAACTGCCGTAGTGGCACAGGCAGGAGAGGCGGTCTAAAAGCTGGTTGCTCCGTTGCCTAACTCATTTGGTGCTTACCCCACCCAGTGCATCACTCACCCGGTGCGTAATTCACCCAGTGCCAACCTCGCCCGGAGCCACACCCGGTGCTTAACTCACCCTGTGCATAACTCACCCAGTGCCTAACTCAATCAGAGTCTATCTCACCCGGCGCCTTATTTACCCGGTGCCTAATTCACTGGGTGCCTAACTCACGTGGTGCGCTATAGCTCACCTTGTGCCTAACTCACCCAGTGCTTAACTCACGCGGTTCCTGATTCACCCTGCGCCAATCTCACCCAGTGCCTAACTCACCTTGTGCCTATCTCACCCGATGCTCAATTCACCCAGCGTCTACGTCACCCGTTGCCTACGTCACCCGCTGCTTAACTCACCCGGTGCTTGATCCACACAGTGCTGAACTCGTCGGGTGCCTAACTCACCCAGTGCCTAATTTATCCGTCCCTAACTCACCCGGTGCTGGTCTCACCCCGCCTGACTCACCCGGTGCCCGATTTCACCTGGCCTAACTCACCCAGGGTTTCTATCACCCTGCTCAACTAACCCGGTGTTTAATTCACCTGGTTATCTCTCCCGGTCGCGATCCACAGGGTCGGGTGAATCACGATCGGGTGAACCAGTTTGTTTCCCTTGTTTGGGGGTGTTTGGGCGCTTCTTCGGGGCCTCTTTGGCCCGCCTCAGGGAATTCCTGGCCCGTCTCACGCCGTCGGAAGCCGTCTTGGAGGCCTCTCGGGGCCAGCCTGGAACCTTCTCGGGGCGCTTCTGGGCGGGGCGGTCTTGGGCTCTTGTGGGTGCCTCCTTGGTAGTCTTTTGGCCCATTTGGGTCGTCTTGGGACCATCTAGGGTGCCTCCTTGGCCGTCTCGAGGCAATCCTTAGGGCCTCTTTGGCGGTCTTGGAGCGCTGGAAGCCCGAATTAGCGGCATGCTGAACCAGTCAAGCACATTGGTGATCACTGATGTTTGCCTCTTGGGGCCCTCTAGGATCTCTCGGAGCAATCTTATAGCATTGTGGTGTCTTGTGAGGCCGTCTTGGAGCCATCTTGAAGCGTCTTGGGGGCGTCTTAGGCCGTCTCCAGGCCATCCTGGGCCGCCTTGGGATTCCTTTTCGACAGCCTTGCGGCTTTACTGGTACCTTCTCAGTCCGCTCTGAGGGATTCTGGCGGGCGGCAGGGGCGGCCAGGAGGCTCACGCGAGACACTCTGAGGGGCGTCTGGAAATTCTTGCAAATTTGGGGTCTTGGCCCTTACGAATGCTTGGTCACCCCCAGGGGCGCGAAGATAAACGCGGTTCCCGCGCCCGAAAAACTGGAGCATCGATCGACGACGATGGTCGACGAAGAAAATTTGCATGCACGTGAAATTCTGGAGCTCCTCGCGCGCGCGGATTTCTTGAATCGGCGTTAGCCCCTCCTGGCGGCGCCTCCAGCGCCGTCCCTTGCGCGCTCCGCGCGACGGGGAGGGAGGTCCAGAGCAGATACAAGAAATCCGCGCAGATCTCCGAAAGTTCATGTTTACGCAGTTGTTAGTTGTCTAGCTTGCCTTGCCCCAACTCGGAGCGGACGATCTCACGGAGAGATAGGAGTCGTGTCATCCAGCCTTGTCTTGTCCGCAGCACAACGGCGCCTGATGTGTTTCCCTCGTAACCTTTTATGCGTCCGCCCTTGCGAGACCAGGGTGAGCTGACACGACTCCACTCTTCTGAATGAGAGTTGCATTGCTTTTACCAAGCTTTTTTGCTCCCATGCGCCGAAGAGCTTGGCTCCCCACCAGGGCCAGTGCCGCGGGCCCTTGCGGCATGCCTGCGGGCGATGGGCTGTCCCGACAGCATTGTTTCCGCCCCCATGAAAGTACAGTCAAAACTCATAGTAAGGACGCACGGATGTCCTTAGCCCGTTTTCGTTGGCCAACCCTTTCAGGGTGTTGGCAGTTCGCCGCCCAGAAGGTGCCGATCTCGGCGTCCGAGGTCCCTGCGTCCCTATCACCAGTCCTTACCATGGATTTTCACTGTAGCGCAGGTCTCCGCCCTTTCCACCGCCTACCCCTCGCGCCAGCCTTTTGCTGGCCTTCCCAGGGGGTGGGCTCTCTGCTCGGCTCCTTGGGCCTTTGCTTTCTCCAAGCTTCTGTGCCAGGGCCAGGCATGGGCCCTCTCCTTGCCTGGGCGTCGCACGGTGCTTCCTGCTGCTTCGCGCGCGTGACTGCGGCAGAGAGGGGTGCCGACCTCAAGCAATAACCACTCTAGCCATGAAGGAAGCGGGTCCTGAGTAAGAAGGGCCCTTATTGGTTCGTCGTGCTCGGTCTCTCGGGGCTTTGCCAGGGACCAGGGCCGTCAGAGCACTACGTACTCGGATCGAACAGCCGTGCGCAGGGACAGCCCTGGGGTCTTCAGGACTTGGTACCATCGTTGCCCCTTTCCGTCATGGCGCAGCTCCTACTTCTCCTTCTCCGCCTCTTTGTCTTTTCCCACGTTTTGCTCCTCCTCGTTCTCCTTTTTCCTTATCCTTCTCCTCTTGCTCAGGTGCATGATTCGTTGGCATCGAGATTTTAGCGTGCTGTCAGTATTCATGGTCACTCGGGGGACGGGTCGTGGTGGACGAGTGAGGCCGACGATGTGCATCAGCAAGCGCTCTCCCGAATACATGCGCGCCCCTCCAGCTATCGCTTCAGGAGATCAGGCAATTGTCCGAGGCAGAGCTTCTCTCTTTGGTGTGTCTGCGGATGAATGTGTGGTTGGTGACAGGTGTGCCACCCTCTGTACGCGCAATCACTTGTGATGCAATGCTTGGTATCCACTGTCTTCCATGCCGCTTGTCCTGTGCATTTGCATCTTGGCGACCTTCGCGCGCTGCTTGGGCAGAGTCGCGTGCGCTGTCCCACTGGTTTCATGCAACTTCCACAGTCCCAAGACTTCATCATATGCATCGGTTGCTATTCCTCGGTTCGTTTTGCATCTTCAGTTCCACCCGCATGTACAATATATTGATTGTTCTACTCATTGTGTTCATATTGTGTCTGTTTGGAAAGGGTGAAGCTGGATAACAACTTGATATGGTACAGCAGTCTCAGGAGGCACCCCGCCATCCAGAGCTGAGCAGGGAATTGCCTCCCCCGAGACAGGGACTTCACTATTCTGGTGTCAGGGTCGCTGTCTCTTCAAAAAGATAAGGGGGTCACGTTTTGGTTTCATCTAAAGCAAAGACGCTGAATTATTAACTGCTTTGGGTTCGGAAGGGGCTCGATGTTCCGTAGGTCCGAAAGAGCGTGTTCTGCCGCTGATGGCAGAAAACCTGGGGGGGTCGCTTGGGGTTTCACCCCACCCTCACACCCTGGTCCATCATCAACCGGGGGGGGTCATTACCGGTTCGACCCCCCCCCCCTCTCCTCGCCGCCTGTAGACACTTCCCCCTCATCCTCCATTCCAGATGGAGGACTGTGGTGGGGACAGTGGTTGGGACGGTGGTGGGGATGGTTGTGGGGAGTGGGGACAGTGGGACAGCGGTGGGGACGGTGGTGGTGGGGACAGTGGTGAGGGCGGTGGTGAGGGCGTTGGTGGGACAATGGGACAGTGGTACAATGGGGACAGTGGTGGGGACAGCGGGGACAGTGCGACAGTGGTGGGGGCACTGGTGGGGACAGTGGGGACAGTGGTGGGAAAAGTGGGGACAGTGGGACAGTGGTGGGGACGGTGGTGGTGGGGACAGTGGTGAGGGGACAGTGGGGACTGGTGGGGACAGTGGGGACTGGCGGGGACAGTGGGCACAGTGGGACAGTGATGGGGACGGAGGTGGTGGGGACAGTGGTGAGGGCGGTGGTGAGGACGGTGGTGGGACTGGTACAGTGGGGACAGTGGTGGGGACGGTGGGGACAGTGGGACAATTGTGGGGACAGTGGGGATTGGGACAGCACAGACAGTGGGGACAGTGGGACAGTGGTGGGGACAGTAGGAACAGTGGGACAGTGGTGGGGACGGTGGTGGTGTGAGGGCGGTGGTTAGGACGTTGGTGGGACAAGGGGACAGCGGTACAGTGGCCACAGTGGTGGGGACAGTGGGACAGTGGGGACCGTGGTTGGAAGCAGTGGACAGTGGGACAGCACAGTGGGACAGCGGTGGGGACAGCGGGGACCGTTGGGACAGTGGGACAGTTGTGGGGACTGCGTGGACAACGGGGAAAGTGGGACCGTGGTGGGGACAATGGTGGGGGCAGTGAGGAGAGTGCGACAGTGGTTGGGGCACTGGTGGGGACAGTGTGGACTGTGGTGGGAGTAGTGGAAACAGTGGTACAGTGGCAGGGACAGTGGGGACAGTTGGACAGTGGCAGGGACAGTGGGGACAGTTGGACAGTGGTGGGGACGATGGTGGTGGGGACAGTGGTGACGCGGTGGTGAGGACGGCGGTGGGGACCCGTGAGTCGTTTGCCGGCGGCGAGTGGGGGGGGTCGAATTGGTAGTGACCCTCCCGGTTTTCCAGGGTGGGGGGTTGTTCGAACGGGTAGGTACCCCCCCTGATTTTCGAAGGGGAGGGGCGGGGGGGTTGGGAGGGGGGGTGGGGTTGCTTGGGGAGGGGGTGTGGGTGGGGAGGGTTTCGAGCAGGGGGGGGATTTTTGGAGGCGGGGGACCCCGGGTTCTGGAGGAAGAGGGGGATTTTTTACAGCAAAGCGGCGGTGGATCACGCTCCCTCTTAGGTCCGTACATTTCTGTTTCTCTACCGCTCCTCGTTCCTTTTCTAGCGTCCTCTCGTGGGCTAAAAAGAGGCTTCGTTCCTTATCTAGCGTCCCTTGTTTCAGCAGTCCGAATGTACTTTCCTGACAGCTTGTACTTCTGACTTGTACGTTCGAGCTACTTGTTTGCGGGACTCGGGGGCGCCTCTGCTGTTGTTTATTGTGTCCAACCGCTCCCCGTCAGGATTACGACGATGACGACGACTACGACGACCAGGACCTACGGCATCTCTCCTCAGGTCAATTGTGAGGTCGAGATGCGTATACCATGGTGAATGTCTCCAGTCGCGTTGCCGTGAAGATTCGACACCGCGCCTCGGGAAAAATGGAAGCGGAAATGCAGAGTGAAAGCGGACCCTCGGGTCCGCCAGTCCGTGGGGCAGCAGCAGCACAGCGGGAGGCAAGGGTCTGGAAGGTCCAGGGCCCGTGCACATGTGGTGTTATTCGGTGCTTGCTCGAGCGGTCGTGGCCGAGGTTTGCATTTCGTCATTGTCGCTTCGCATGTCTCCGTGTGGCGCAATGCGCACGCACACAACATCCAGCTGCCTTCGGCAAGTTGGCTACCGTGCCATTCCAGCATTCGACGGGGGCACGGGAGGCCGTCACGTGTGCTCTGGCAAGCCGTGATGAGGATTCTGAGGAGAATGGGGATGTTAATACCAATACTAATCGATGATGTTGGTCACGTTTATGATGATGATGATGATGATGATGATGATGATGGTGGTGGTGGTGGTGGTGATGATGATGATGATGCTGATGATGATGATGATGATGATGCTGATGTTGATGCTGATGCTGATAATGGTGCTGATGACGGTGATGATGATGGTGATGATAGTTATGGTGATGATGGTGGTGATGATGATGATGATGGCGATGTCAATTGCGATGATGATGTTGATGATGACGATGATTATTATGCTGATGGTGATGCTGACGAGGATTGACGATGATGTCGGTGATGAATCTGGGGATGATCATGGTGATGATGATGGTGCTGCCAGTATGATGATGATTATTAGTATGATGTTGTTGTTGATGATGATCATGATGCTGACGTTGATGATGCTGCTGCGCTGAGGTTGCTGTTGCTGATGATGATCACCATCATGATGATGCTGATGATGATGACGATGATGGACGATTGCGGCGATGGTGATGGTGATGTTGATTGTAATTGGTGATGATGATGAGATTGATGCTGATGATGATGACGCTGATGCTGATGCTGATGTTGATGATGATGATAATGATGATGCTGCTGATGATGATGATGATGATGATGCTGGTGTTCACGATGTGTGTTGGTGGTGGTGGTGATGCTGCTGCTGCTGCTGATGATGATGATGATGATGATGATCATGATGATGATGCTGATGCTGATGCTGATGCTGATGATGATGATGATGATGATGATGATGATGATGATGATGATGATGATGAAACTCGGTCGGGCCGTCTTGCCTCCTGTATTGCAGTCTTTCAGGTCCGTCCCTTGGAGCCTTCTTGGGCCTTTTTGGGACCGGCACTCTTACATCGGCTTGGGTTTCTCTTGGGCCTGTTGGGGCTTTCTGGATCGTATGGTGGGTGTCTGAGCGCTGTCGTGGGGCCGTCTCGGCGGTGTCTTGGACCGTCGGATGGCCTTCTGAGGCCGCCTTGGGTCCCACGGGGGACCCTTCTGGTCGTCTTGGAGCCCTTGTGGGCCATTGTGGAGTCCCCTTGGGTCATCTTGAGCTGACGGCAGCCTGAAAAGGCGAGAACGCTGCGAAATTCACTGAAAAACCCAAGCGGGATCAATGGTTTTGGCTTCTTCAGACTCTGTTGGAGGTCCGCTTGTTGCCCGTTTGGGCCCTCTTGCAGGCATTTTGGAACGTCTCGAAGCAATGTTCGGCCGCCTTGGGGCCATCCTGGGCCGTCGTCAAGGCATCTTGGGCTATCTTGCTGTCCTTGGTTGCCTGCACGGACCGTCTTGGCAGCCCAGGACGCGTGTCCATAGTTCCCAACCATCCTGTGGTGTTGGGTCCTTGCTTTGAAGACACAGCGCCGCCCCGCGTCACCTCCTCCCGCCCTTCCTTCCTTCCCCCCCCTCCTCCCTCCTCTGCTTCTGCCCTCCGCACCAGTCAACAATTTCGGCACACCCCTCACACGTTGCGTGGCCCCATAGGGAGCTCCACCGAGCACCCCAGTGGCTACTGGAGCCGTCGGCGTCAAGGAGGTCAGGAACCTCGGGCGGGGTCCACGCCGAGGGCGGAGCCAGGTCCAACGTCGTGCGCATGATGAGGATCGCGCACAACAGGATTGGGATACCTCGCATCAAACGACTCTTCGACCTTCGGCGAGGGCGAGCGGCTGCTGCGAAGGTGGTCTCCACGGGGATGGCCCCCAGTCTCTTCTACGGGGTCAACTGCACGGGGCTCAACGACACCGAGCTCAGGCAGTCGCGCACGGTGGTCAGGCATGCGATCGAGCCGAGACCGCAGGGGAAGTCCTCACAGCTTGCTTCATGGTCGGGGGCTCGGACACGTTGAACCCGATCTTCCCTGCCACGCTCGGGCCCTGCTTCTCCCTCGCCAGGGCCATCTGGGAGAACTGTATTCCCATTTGGCAGCTGGAGGCAGCGTTCGACTGGACGGCCAACGCCACAACCAAGTGGGAGAAGGCGAAGGGCCCCCTTGGAGCGGCAATCCTTTCGCTGCGGAGGGGCGGCTACAAGGTGAAGAACATGCGTGAGCTGATCAGACCGTCGGGCGAGGCGCTGGACCTCCACGACATCTCCCCCTGGTACTTCAAGAAGGTTTTGATCATGGACAGTAAGATGTGGCAGCTGAAGCAGCTCGCCACCAACCCGCACGGCGACATAGTGCAGGGAGCCTTCATCCCGAGCGTCAGGCTCTGGATCAACAACGGCAAGGGCGACACCTTGGAGGCACGCGAGTGGAAGAGCCTCACCTTTGACGAGCGGGGCTACCTGCGGTCCGTGGTGGTACAAGGGCAGCGGCCCAATGGTCGGCGATACCATGCGTCGCCGAGGCTGGCGGCAACACCTTGCTGCCGGCTCCACCCTGCTGTGCCTGGCACGCTCTGGCATCGGCACTTGGAGTGCCAGGAGAGCTGGCCAGATCACAGGCTGCCAGCCGAGACTGCGAAGCTTTCGGCCTTCCACGCGAGCATCGCGATCAAAACCTTCCAGTGGACCGGCTCCTCCTGTCCGAGCCTGCGCGCGCGGAGGCCGCCAGGGGGCGACCTGCTGGCGCGCGTCCAGTAGATCAGAGGAGACGACGGCGTGCCGTTCGCCAACGCCGAGCTACGAGGCAGGGCGCTCGCTGGCCATCTCCGCTTGCGCGCTGGCCGAGCTGCCGCCTGGAGATCCGCGGGGAGACCCTGGCACCGCGTCTGTGGCCAAGGCGCTGGTCGCGCCGCTTCCTGGGCCGCCTCGGTCCGCTGACGGGGCGGAGCTTCTGGGCCTGCTCGTGCTGTTCAAGGAATCCTCGCCGCCCATCGCAGCCTCGTTCGACGCCTCCTGCGTCGCGGAAGGCCTGTTGGAACGCGGACGGGCTGCCGCCGCCGCGGCGACTGCAGCTTGGAGCCCGGTGGCGCAGGGTTTGGCAAGCTCTCGACGATTTGGGCGGACTGGGGGGGCGTGCCCTCGCGACCAAGATGGCAAAAGGGCCACGCCACGCTGAAGGGCGTTCTGGATGGGGAGATCACGCGACGCGACGCGACGGGGGAGGCAACATGGGGGCGGACAGGTGCGCCAAGTACGTTGCTCAGGCATTCCGCTCCTCGTCCGCAGGTGATCCCATCGCCTCATGCCTCGGGGCCCCTGGGCAGAGCAGAGAAGGCGACGGAGTCGAAGCTGCAGGAGCGGCCTCGGGATCTGGGCCTCGAGGCGTCGCGAGTGAGCACGACTTGTATTCCATCAGCAGGTGCTGCGCACGCAAGAGCCGCCATTGCTGCGCGCGGGGGACCAAGGGCAAACACAGGGTGCCTGGCGGAGAGTGCCAGCCTGCCGCTGGCGAGGCGCTCAGGGCCAGCAGAGGAATGTCGATCTGATCAGAGCTGGCCTGGGTCCCAAGACGGGGAGACCGCAGGGGCGCTTCGCTTCTTCCTGATGGGCGGCCTCGAGCGGCGCCTCAGGCTCTCGGTGCCGTGTCGGCGAGGGCGTGGACGGCCGCGCCCGCGCATGGCCAAGCCGCGGCCCAAGACGGGCGCCCTGCGGCGCAGTCGCGGACGGCGCGCGCAGCGCGCGCCGCGCGAGGGATGAAAAGAGAGCCCCAGTGGCTGCGCTCGCATGGCACCACCGCGTTCATTTCGGCACACTCTTCACACGCTTCGTGGCCCCATTGGGAGCTCCACCGAGGGCCCCAGTGGCTGCGCTCGCTTGGCACCACCGCGCTCATTTCGGCACTCCTCTCACACGCTTCGTGACCCCATCAAGAGCTCCACCGAGGGCCCCAGTGGCTGCGCTCGCATGGCACCACCGCGCCCATGTTGGCACGCCCCTCGCACGCTTCGTGGCCCCACAGGAATCTCCACGGAGGGCCCCAGTGGCTGCGCTCGCATGGCACCGCCGCGCCCATGTTGGCACACCCATCACACGTTTCGTGGTCCCATAGGGAGCTTCACGGAGGGCCCCAATGGATGCGCCCGCATGGCACCACCTCGGATCCTTTGCTCCGCCACAGGTGTTTGATAACCCGCGCAGGCCTGGCTCGAATGGGGCGCGCCGTCGCCGCGGCTCAGCGCCAGCGCGAGGCAACGCGTGCGCTCCGATGAGGAAACAAACCCATCTTACAATGGGCAAGAAACGCCTTCTGTTTCGTCGGGGCCCCTGTGTTTGTTCGGCTCGCGTTCGGCGTGAACGGTCGCCGCCATTTCGAAGAAACTGCGAACGCCGGGGCGCCCTGGGTTTTTTGGGCGAAGGCGCGGTTCCCGGCGCGCGCCCGAACTTCTGGAAAATTCTGGGCATTCAAGGTGCCGTAGGTTTTTTCGCCCGCGATTTTGCCTGTTCGTCGCGCGCGCCGCAGGAACCCCGGCGCATCGGGGCGCATACCCAAAAACCTTACAGATTGATTGGCCCAGAACGCAAATGAAACACTTGGCTTTTCTCGACCAGTCCTCGGGTGACCCGCCCGCTGGCGGCTCAATTGCGCGGCGTGCGCTCAACAGAGGACGCGCGTGAAATCGGAGTGCACCAACTCATATTGAGATCAGGAAGGAAAGAAGCACACAGACACAGTTAATCGTCGATTCCCAAGAAAATATGGGAAAATATGGGAAGTGGGGGGGAAGACAAAAACCCAGAAAATATAAAAAAATATGGGGAATCCTGTTATTTGTCTGTATTTATTTGTGTCCCAGGGCCCCTTCATGCGATCTCGAATGCAAGTGAAACGGCTGATGTGTCTCGTCAGTTTTTCGGGCAACCCACCCGCTGGTGGATCACTTCTGCTGCGCGTGCTCATCAGGGGAACGATGTCGAGTCGGAACGCAGCGGTTCATGCTGAGGCCCCTAATGCAAATTCAAGGATGTATTTTCAAGTGTTCGCCGATTTGATAAAGGAGCGCCAGTGTATCCGGGGCGCGCGCCTGAATCAAGTGTGCGCGCAATTTCTTTCCCGAAGAGGCGTCATCGTCGCCTCTTCTCGTTGAGCCAAGCACGAGGTTCGCATTTTCGATCGCCTTGGGTTGTTTGATACCAACTTGATTTTCACGACAGGGGTTGAGAAACCGCTGTGGTCAGGGCACCTTGGGTTTTTCATTTGCAGTTGAAGCGCAAGAAGGCTCAACCCTTGACCAACCAACTTCCGTGGATTTCAGGTTTGGGTTTCTTGCGGTGGGTTTCTTTGTGAACTAGCCTCCACTGTAAATCAGATTCGCCTTTTCATTTCCATCAGCCCCCACAATTCTAGTTTCTCTTCCTCTCAGTTCTCCCCTCTCCTTGTCCTCGGGAGCTCCGCTTGGGGGCCACCTATAAGGGGTTTCGTTGCCGTCAGGAGCATCGGCCCTCGGCCTCTTCGTTGCTGTCGCCGCCCCCTCCCCCCTTTCCCTCTGCCGTCGCCCCATTATGTCTCTCCCGGGCCAGCGTGCACGCCGCTGTCAGGACTTGGGCTCACGGGCGCCCTTCTCCTCTGACAGTGCGACTCTGTTTGCGACGCCGGCCCCCAGAGAGATAGGGTCCAGGGCTCCAGTGGAGGAAGAGGAGGAGGAGAAGGAGGAGGAGGAGAAGGAGGAGGAGGAGAAGGAGGAGGAGGAAGTGGAGGGGGAGGAGGAGGAGTCTCTCGACCACTTCCTCGGGCCCGGCTTCCCACCTCGAGCCGCTCTCTGCTGGCCCCGGGCCAGGAGGGCAGCGCCCGCGGGCGCCGCAGGCGACGAAACAGCCGGCCGCCGCTCTCCTGTGGTGCAGCGCCCGGGCCTGATGGGTCGCGAAGAGGGCCGCGAGAGAGCCCAGCCTGTTGCTGTGATCCGCCAAGGCATCCAGGGAGGAGGAGGAGGAGGAGGAGGAGGAGGAGGAGGAGGAGGAGGAGGAGGAGGAGGAGGAGGAGGAGGAGGAAGGACGGCTCCCCCCACCATGTTGCGGTCCTGGCCCGCCGTGATAGGGGCCCCTGGCGCCCTGCAAGCTCTGCTGCAGGGAGGCGGCAGCAGTCGCGGCCTCCGCCACGGCAGGCACCCGCGCGGGGCCCGGCGCGAGCCTGGGCCTGGGCGCAGGGCGCTCGCCGCAGCAGCCCCGACGGCTCCCCCTGCACAGGCGGGGCGGGGGCCTCGCCGCGCCATCTCTCTCTCTGCACGGCTCGGCCCGCCGGGCGCTCCTCGGGGCCCCCCGTCAGGGGCAACGGTAGGGGGGATAGGCATGATTCGGGGGGAATGCATCGACCCCCCATCGCCCATTGATCGCCGATAGGGGCCCGATAGCCCCACCCCGCCCAGGAAGGTGCGGACTCACTATCGGGCGCCTATCGCCGATCTATCGGCGAAGTATCGCCGATTCCAGGTCGATGCATCCCCCCCTATGCCTATCCCCCCTATCGTTGCCCCTCACCCCCGTGGAGGGCGCAGGCGCCCCGGGGCCTTTTCGGGGCCTCTCCGGGGTGGGGGGCACTCGGGGGCAGCGTCATGGGGGGATGCAGCCAAGGCGCTGAGATAAGAGCTGCTTCTGGGCTCAGGAGGGGCTCGTTTTTTTTGACGTTTCCTTCAATCCAGTGGTCGGGGGAGCCTATTCTTGGACGCGGCTGGCCGCGGCCAGGAAAGCCCCTGCGTTCCTTGGCTTGCGTTCCTTACAATAGGTAGGTTCGCGTCGTGTCGACCAGCGGCGACCCCGCCGCTCGCGTTGAACGCCGCCAGCGACCCGGAGTTGGTCCATGTTGAACGATCCGACGTTTCGGAAACCGCCGATCGTTCAAGATTGAACGATCCCCTCGGTGTCAGGAACCAACGCCCAAGTCGGCACGACACGTATGTTAGTACGCTCACTGTAGTCCGAGGAGAGTACGCATCGTCCCCCCCTCATCGCCCCTTCACTGCTGGTGGGGGCCCGACAGAGCCCGCCCTGCCCAGCAACGAGCAGGCTATACGGGGGTCGCTATCGCCGACCTGTCGGCGATGTGTCGCCGATTCCGGCTCGATGCTTCCCCCCTCGAGCCGCCCCCCCCTAACATTTCCCCCCAGCATCCAGGGCGAGCTCATGTGTCCCGTCGATCTGCTGCCAGCTGCTCCTGAGACGTGGTCTCCGTCGATGAGGTTCGGGGCTGCGCGCTGGCCGAGTGGGTACAGGGCGGAAGGCCTCAACAACTGTACCTAACTTTCGGGCGCGGAGCGCCCCATGGGCGCCGCGGATGGCGGCGAACACAGTGGAGACCCATGCCAAGAAGCACCCAGCTTGCCTCCAGGGTGCCCTGGGTTTCTTGGTTTTCGTTGGTGTTGCGATGGAAAGTGTGACGTTCCTTCGCCAAAATCCATGGACGCCCTGGGGTCTCAGGGTTGGGTTTCTTGTGGAGGGTTTCTCGTGGTCGGGCCCTCGCTGTAAGGCCTCGGCGCCTTGCGGCTCCCGACGACGCCTGCGACTGCGACGCCGCCGACGGCGGGGCGCCGCGCCGCGGCGGCAGCCGGCGGCGGCGGCAGCCGCGCGCCGCGCGCCGGAGAGGACGCCACGCCCGCGGCGGCGTCGCAGCTCCCGGTTGCCGCGGCGGCCACTTCGTCGAGGGCGGCGGGCTACCCCGCGGCCGCCGCCCCGCCCGCGGCCGCCCGCGCGGCAGCAGTGGCGGTGACGGGAGGAGAAGGAGCAGGAGGAGGAGGAGGAGGAGGAGGAGGAGGAGGAGGAGGAGGAGGAGGAGGAGGGGGGGAGGAGGAGGGGGAGGAGGAGGAGGAGGAGGAGGAGGAGGAGGCGGAGGAGGAGGCGGAGGCGGAGGCGGAGGCGGAGGAGGAGGAGGAGGAGGGAGGAGGAGGAGGAGAGGAGGAGGAGGAGGAGGAGGAGGGGGAGGAGGGGGAGGAGGAGGAGGCGGAGGCGGAGGCGGAGGCGGAGGAGGAGGAGGAGGAGGAGGAGGAGGAGGAGGAGGAGGAGGAGGAGGGGGCTTTCCCTGAGAGCTGGGCGTTGCAGTTCTACGCCGCACCGGGCGTTTTCGCTTCCAGTTTCGGGGCCCAGGGCCACCCCATGCCGATGCGGCTCGAAAAGTGCTGCAGGAAAATGGGGTGTCCTGGGGCTCTGGCCGTGATTTGCCACGATGCTTCGATGTTTCGCAGCGTCGGATCGCAGGGTCTGCCCTTCCCCTCCCCTACCCCTCCCTCTCACTTCTGCCCTGCTTCTTCCCCCTTTTCCCCCGATCAGGGCTTGCACTGGTTGGGGCCCTGTCGGAGATTGAAAGACTAGGTGAAGGTACGGGGCCGATTTCGGTAGGCGGGCGCGTTGCAAGTTCCCGCTTCCAGGTTTGAAATTTTGGTAGGCGGTCGGGTTCCCGAGTTCATCGTCTTGGGCCGCGAGGGAGGGGGAGGCGCGGATGTCAAGATTGTGTGGCAACAAAGGCAAAAGGGCCGAGACCGAATGAGTGTTGCAAGTCAACCTGGCCTGCGCTTCGAACCAGTTTGGGCGTGGAGAGGGGCGGGAGGGTCGCTATATTGCAGGCACATCGAATTAGAAACGGGCCAGCGGTTCAATCTGCTTTGGGCGCTGGTATTCCCGTCGTCGAAAATTGGTTTTGTCTGGCTCATCCCCGCCTAATTAGCCTTAATCTTGTTCGTCATGACTCAATCCTGGGCTTACTCTGGCTAAATCTGGCTTAATGTCCGCGGACGGTTTGTGTAAACCGAACCGCCAAGGCATCGTCGATCCTCGACCCGGGCCGTACCGCGTTGGATTGGGGCCTGAAGGGAGAACAGGCATGATATCAAGGGCGCCCTCGAGGGCGCGAAGTTATTCGCGCTTCGCGCTTCGCAGTTCGGCTCGGATTCCTCACCCTCCTCTTCTCTCCTGGGAGGCGGCGCGAGAGCGCGAAGTTATTCGCACTTCGCGCTTCGCGCAGCGCGAAACGCGAAGTTGGGAGCCCTTGGATATGGTGCATGCGTCCGTGTCGTACCCGATGGCTTTCCCGACGCCGTACCAGACGCCGTACCCGACGCCGTATCCGACGACCTTCCCGACGCCGTACCCGATGGCCTTCCCGACAGCCTTCCCGACGCCTGGCCCAACGCCCGGCCCGACGGCCGACGCGACGTCGCACCCGACGGCCTTGCCGACGCCGTACCCGACGGCCGACCCGACGCCGTACACGACGGCCTTCCCGACGTCATACCCGAGTGCCTTCCCGACGCCCTTCTCGTCGCCGTTCCCGACGGTTTTCGGCCTTCCCGACGTCGTACCCGACGCCGCACCCGACGCCGTTCCCGACGGCCGTACCCCGACAGCCTTCCGACGCCGCGACCGACGGCTTTCCTCACGCACGCACTCCCCGACGCCGCACCGGGGAGGGAGTGCGCTTTCAATTCGTAGGGGGAGGGAGTGCGCTTTCAATTTAGGCAGAATCGTTAGGGGAGGGAGTGCGCTTTCAATTCGGAGCTTGACCGCGGGCTCGCTACGATCGACTTCGGCAATGATCGCACGCGGCGTGGTGCCAGGCGAGGGCCCTCTTTGTGGAGCGAAGCGCTTTGTTCCTGAGCAGGACAATTGGATCTGCCATGTCTGGTGACGAGGCCTTCCTGCCCACGGGTGCCCAGATTCCGAAGTTGCAGAGCAGGGCCATCGCGCGCGCCCGTAGGGCTATGAGAAGGTCTTGCTACTGTGGAGGCTAACGGTCACCAAGTCTCGATTGGCAGTGCAGAAGTGCGCAGGCATTGGGACATGGCCCCGCTCGAAGTGGAATTGAGAGCCCGACGCATCGAGTGGCGCCGGCGCCGGGTGCGGCACCCCGACCGACGTTTGTCAGCGCGGGCCGCGCTCTCTGGCACAATGCAGATTCGGCAGGGCCACGGCCTGCAGATTGTCGGCCAAGGCTCTCAGCTCACTTCGGCGACGCGCCCCTGGGCGAGAAGAATCATGGGAGACGTTGGTTTACTTGCTGATCCAAGTGATGGCGAATGCGAAGATGTAGCCGACTTTAACGGCAGCCCCCTGCAGTTGTTGCAGGAGCCCCTCCTGGTAGATTGGTTATCGGGCTTTGGCGCGGCCAAGCTAGGGGCGCACTGGGTATGCGCAGCGACCCCGCCCCCGGGATTTCACAGACCCGAGGTGGACCGCCCCGCCCCTGGCGGCCCTGAACCTACGCTGCAGCGCACTGTTCCAGGACGCCCGCGTCGATGTCGTGCCAAGCGCCAACTACTTGTGATTATGCGCAGGTAACGCGCGTTTGCGTCGGCCCTGTCCAACGTCTGCTTCGTCTGCGAGAGTGGCTTTGAGAGCCGCGACTCAGCATGCGCACATTTGATTGATTCCTTCGAGATGGGCATTTGCGCAATAACAGGCGTGCGACATTCGGAACGCCGGGCCACGTGGGCGAGCAAACATCGGACCCAATCGGCGCACGAACACATCTTCGCATTCATTTCTCGCAACCTCCAGCGCGGGGCCGTGCCAGCGGGGCCGCAGGCGCCGCCGGCCCAGCAGGCCGCGACCGTCAACGACGCCCCCGTCGCAGATGCTCGCAGGCATCGGCGGCGAACGCAAGACCGACGACAGCGGGGGCAGCCGGCATGCCGAGCGCTCCGAGCTCGCGGAACAGATCACGAAGGAGAGCCACTCGAAGAAAACGGGCCGCTCCACGGCATTGCTGGCTATACTTCCCAAGCTCGGCCTGTCGAATGCGCGCGAGTTTGCCGATCTGACGCGCGCGTGCTTCGCGCGCTTTCCGCTTCCTCCGCAAGCGCCGCTCATCGAGCGGACGCGGACCGCAGGCAAGGCTTGCGCCGAGGACGGCAAGGAGAAGGGGGGGGGCCGCGGGAACGACATTCCGTGGCCGCACGTCTTTCTCGGACTCTTGCACCGCTGCATCTCGCAGGAGACGCTAGACACCGCGGCGCTGAAGGCGCGGCGAATCTATTGGGGCTTCGTGACCAAGCTTCCGGAAGAGGAGGCGCTGACCCACCTACAGGAGCAGATCCGCCACCCCAGGGTGAAAACCTGCTGGTGCGACCGCAAGAAGGGCGAGAAGCCCGCCATATTCAAGCTCCAGTTCACGATGGGCCCCATCTCGCAGGCCAACGCCGTCAAGGATGCGCAGACACAGGAGAGCACACTTCCCCTTCACCAGGCGATGCGCAGGGCCATCCGGCACGAGGCGGGGAGCACCGAGTGGGCGGAGCACCTTCGGGGGCGCTGGGGCGCGAGGCGGAGCGGCTGACGAAGCAGCTCGGGATGCAGGACGACTGGGCGGCAAACGGGAAGAAGGCGGGCTCAGACAGCGAAGACGGGCACTGAACTTGCCACCGTGCGGCTCGTAGCAGTGACAAGATGGCCGAAATGGTCCGAATGGGCCAGCTCTCGGGCAGCTCGTCAGCCAGGTTGCAGCAGAGATTTTCACATCCAATTTTGCATAGTCTGATTGGTTGTAGACTGCAGGTTAAGTGGGAGGGGGTGTGGGCTCAGGTAGCCATTTTGGGTCCGTAGCGTTCGGCTCTGGCCGACGCGCGGGTGTTCCAGGGGGCCGCGGGGCGGCCATAACCACAGCCGTGCTAGTCCGCGGACTTGGTAGCGCGCCTGTGGTGCCATGGCTGTGGGCTTCCTGGGGGCGCACCTGATGATCTTGGTTACGGGCGGCGCTCTTACGGTCCAAGGGGCACTTGGCTGGCTGCCATTCGGGCGCGGGGGACATGAGGTCCCAGCGCCGACGCCGCCAGCCCTGCCCGGGCCGACAGCGCCGCCGGCAGGCGGTGGGGGGCGAGGCAAGGGGCGAGGACCGCCCGCCAAGCCCGCGCCTGCAGGGGGAAAGGGGCGAGGGCCGCAGGCCAAGCCCCCGGGGGCGCCGGGCGTCCCACCGCCGCCGCGGTCAGGGTCGACTACAACGACCACGACCGCGGGCATCGGGCGCGTAGGCGAGGGCGAGCCCACAGGCAGCCCAGCTACGCCGGCATACGGAGGTAACAACGAGCCCACGGGCGCGCCTGGGCAGCCGTCCGCCCCGGGAAACCGGACGGGCGATGGTGAGCCTGACCTGCCGCGTGGGCCGGACGGGTATTGGGGGTGGAGTGGTTGGGTCCCGCACCTGCCCCATTGGTGGGCTGGCCGGAGCGAACCCCCACCGCCGCCGCCGCCACCTACACCGCCCCCGGAGGCAGGGCCGGGTCCCGGTTGGGGCTTCGCAGCCTGGAGCGTGGGTAAGCTCCCCCGACCACCCGGGCACGATCCGCACGAGTGGCGGATGGATTGGAGCCGCCGTCGACCGCCTGGGCGTTAAGATGCTTGGGTATTGGTGGGAGACCGCGGTCTTATGCTTTGCCCTTGGCATCTTCACGTTCGTGTTGGGTGCCCTGGCCTTCATCGTCAACACCGCAGCCCAGCCTATGCTGTGGGCTGCCGGGGGACTCCGCTGGGCGTGGTACCAGATTACCCGGTGCTGCCAGCGACGCGGAGGGGATGGGCCCGGCGCCCATCTTCCCCCACCCCCTCCGACCCCCTTGCTGGTGCGCTGGCGCGGGCCGGGCTTGGGCGGCGTGGTGGAGACAGAGTTCTACACAAAGGGGGTCCGCGGCCGAGGGACCAATCGGGCGTGCAACCACGTGCTGCTGCGTAAGCACGGGCAGGTGGCCCGCATCAGCTGCAACTTC